TCTTTACCTGGCTTTGGTATTAGAGTGATGCTGACTTCATAAAAGGAATTTAGAATTTCTGTCTCCATTTCTATTTTTTTAAAATAAATTAAGTAGTATTGGATGCAGATCTTCTTTAAATGTCTGGTAGAATTCTGCTGTTAATCCATCTGGTCCGGGAGTTTTTTTAGTGGGGAGGTTTTGTATTACTGTTTCAATTTCTTTTTTTGTTATGGGTCTGTTTAAGCTGTTACTCTCTTCTTGGTTTAGTTTTGGTGGTTCCCATGCCTTTAGATATCTGTCCATTTCTTTTAGGTTTTCAAATTGAGTAGCATATAAGTTTTTTAAGTATTCCCTTATGTTGTTCTGCATCTTTCTGGTGTCTGTTGTGATGTTTCCCCTTTCATCTCTAATTTTGTTGATTTGGAGGTGCTCTTTCTTTCTTTTGGTTAACTGGGCTAGCAGTTTGTCAATCTTGTTTAACTTTTCAAAGAACCAGGTCTTGGATTCGTTGATTCTTTGTATTGTGTTCTTTATTTCAATTTCATTGATTTCTGCCCAATTTTTTGTTATTTCTTCTTGTCTGCTGGGTTTGGGTTTTGTTTGCTGTTGCTTTTCAAGTGTGTTGAGTTGCAATGTTAAGTCATTTATTTGTGTTCTTTCTGATTTTTTGATGTAGATGTAGGCACTTAGAGCTATAAACTTCCCTCTAAGGACAGCTTTCAGCATGTCCCAGAGGTTTTATTGTGTTGTACTGTCCTTTTCATTTAGTTCCAGGAATACTTTTATTTCTTTCTTACTTTTATCTTTTGACCCATTCATCATTTATGAGTGTGTTGTTTAATCTCCATGTGTTCATGTGGAGATTAGGGCTTCTTCCTGTGTTGATTGTAAGCTTTATTGCATTGTGGTCTGATAGAATGCATGGAATTATTTCAATCTTTTTGTATTTGTTGAGGTTTGTTTTGTGCCCCAGTATATGGTTGATTTTGGAGAAGGTTCCATGGGGTGCTGAGTAGAAAGTATGTCCACTGGTGCTTGGGTGGAATACTCGGTAGATGCCTGTTAAGTTCATTTGATATATGGTATTGTTTAATTCAGATGTCTCTCTGTTAACCCTCTGCCCTGTTGGCCTATCTAATGGAGACAGTGGGGTATTGAAGTCCCCTACTATTAATGAATTGGGATTAATATGGGTCTTAAAGTCCTGTAGTGTTGTTTTTTTGAAGTTGGGTGCACCAGAATTTGGTGAATATATGTTCATGATTGTAATATCTTATTGATTTATCATTCCTTTGATCAGAATGAAGTAGCCCTCTTTATCCCTTCTGATTAGTTTTAGTTTAAAGTCTATTTTGTCAGATATTAGAATTGCTACGCCTGCTTTTTTCTTAGTACAATTTGCTTCGTATATTTTTTTCTATCGTTTCACTCTAAGATAGTGTCTGTCCTTGAAAGTGAGATGAGTTTCTTGCAGACAACAAAAAGATGGGTTTTGTTTCTTAATCCATTCATATAGTCTGTGTCAGA